AGCAATTCAGCATCAGCTTTTCAGCATAAAGCATTCCCACTGGCAATTTCTTCAGGAATTGCATTCTCTAGTTTGTATTAGTGTGGACCGGAGGGAGAGGGTGACGAGCATAAGTTTCACTTTCCTTTTTTATTTCAATTCCAACTTTGGTCATGAAGAATATGTTTCTCTGTTGTCCACGTTCATAAAGCATAAAGCAACAGCATCAGAGCACGGTGCAGAGTCTCAAGATGAGTTTACAGTCCCTCGTTCTTATTATACGTCCATGTTGTAGTCCGTTGTATAGAAAACTGTAGTTTCCATAGTTTCCCCACAGCAGCAGACGCACATTTATGACGTCCGCTGGCGCATCATAAACACGTCGGATAGTGAAAGTGTAGTCGGATTCTCTAAAGTACCGCAGTCTCTTCTCCTAAGTCCTTTTGAATTCTCCTATCCACTATCCCTTAACCCCGTGACGTTTCACTCAGAGGTCAAGGAATAGATGATAGGGTTAGACGTTAGGAGCTGATTTTTGGATTATCCGACCGCAACCCTGGTGTGTCCGTGCCTTTAGAGTCCTTCCTTGATCCCAGCTATGAAACGGAAGGATTATTTCCACAACCTGGAATTAAAACATGATAATTTCAGAAGCCCCAATTAAGACCCATTGGCTTTAAATTAACTGTGTGCAGACCTATAATGATAAAAATCCACGATAAGATGATATCCATATTGGATGCACAATTAATTATATGTACATAGAGATGTATTTTTTTTCCACTTAGCAAAAATTAATCACAACAATTGTATCCATTTAACTCTATGAGTGCCATGAATTACTGCTCACAGGGATACATTGTAGACCTGGAAAATGTCAGTTTGTCCACCTCAGGTATGCATTTAGGATTCCCTTGTATTACTCCACGATGTGATATTGCATATCTATGTGTTGCTGGCTGCAAGTGTCTTCAGGAAGAAAAAGAAAATAAATAGCAAATGTGTTAAACAGAAAACGGGAACCATTAACACATGGAAAATATTTTTCTAACATTATTTTGCTGCAAAGTCGTAGAATGTGTTGTTGATTCGGGGATATTTATCATGATATTTGTGGGACTTTATTTGTTTTTTATCCATGAAGAACATCTCTCTTTACACTCGATATGTTTGACGTTTATGATTCATGGCCAAAAACCAAAAGCATAGTATATCTGTTTACTTTGTCTGGTTTGTGGGAGCTTTTAGGTTAACTATCAGGGAGACTGAACGTGCATGTGAATCTAAATAAGGGGATAGAGCTCAAAGTTTTGCTCATTACTGCAACACCTTACCACGGTACTGCAACAGAAATAGTAAAACAGCACCCTTTTACCTCACACTGCACCCCTGTGATGAATGGATTAACTAAGCAGTAGCTTTTCTATAAGGTTGCCAAACATCTCAATGATGTTCTTTTTTTGTTTGCACCATAACTTGGTGATTAAGTGCTGGATATGATGCCATAAATGCAAATGTACTGGCTCTTAGAACTCTGTTAAATCATAATAAATCAATAAATTCCAGGTTTAAGGACTTCATTTCCGGACTGTTGTTATATTCTAACACTCTCAAAAGTGCTACTGCATTTACCATAGTCTATATCAGTTCGCTGAGGCTTCCTTTATGATGTTATTGACTTACCACAGGGGGGGGGGGCTTCCACTGGATTTGCTCCCTGAAGAATGATCATTCAACATAAAATCTCATGAAGATGCATACATTAAACCAGTTTCCAGCAGGAATACATTGAACCTATTGGTTAAGTGTTTTGGTTGTAACTACTGACAGGACCGTTTATTAAGTAAATATAGATTCAAGACACTGTTTCAAGAAGTTTTGCTACTTTGTTTTGTTGGGAATCAATGACGATGACAAACATTTACAATCATTGTTGAAAACCTGTTTCAGAATTCGTTCCAAAATGTATGTTTTAAATATAATAATTTGCCAACCGAATTAGGAGAATAGAATCCAGTAAATCTCTCTTTAAATCACTCCACACTACTCACAAGAACATTACGAGAGGTGTTATTTTTTGGAGTTTGAATTATACTTAACATAGAAAATGAGAAAACAATTAATCAACACTTTCATTTTTCACTGAAAGTCACAGTTAAGCTGATTACATTTAGAAGCACATTTTGTTTAACCAACACCAGTACTGTATGTAAACGACAATAACAAAGGCTACGTTATATTTTCTGAATTTTAAATGACTCCTCTCTTCACTCCCTCCTCTGCACCCGGCTGGAGGTTTCCCTCGGCGAGGACATCAGGCTGGAGGCTCTGAAGTTCTCTCTGAGTGGCTTGCTGACGTCCTGAGTATTGGCAGTCACTTCCTGTTTGTCCTCTTCATTATTTCCCTTCTCTTGTATGACCGGCTTTTGTTTAGTTGTGGTATGAAGTGAGCTGCTGGTATTGGATAAGGGGAGCTGGTGCTCTGCCATGTCTCTGCTGCTGCCCAGCCTCAGGGTCCGGCTGGGGCTCCTCTCCACCAGGAAGTGGATCACCTGCTGCTGCTTGTAACTCTCTCTACGGACGCTGTCTGTCTCTGAAAGAGTCAGCCTGGAACACATTAAGAAAAATGCTTTTTATTAACTCTCTGTAATACACAAAAGTAGAGCGACGTGATCATTATATCTCTTTCAAGCGTTTTCAAATAACTTGTAGACAAGGGTGAAGACTGCTTCTTCACTTCTCTTGCTTAGTTGAAACTTTAAAGCTGGTCACAGTTTTAACAACACTACAAGAGATATAGGTTATGTTTTTTAAATAATTTAAAGGGTACATACTTTGTTTTTACTAGAAAATCTTGACATTATTTTGTGTCAAAAAACACATCACACTGTATGTCTGGATATACCGTACCTGTATGAATGATCTGCTTTAAATGCTCAGTTTTAGTGCCTGTCTCTTTAGTGTTCGTCCTTTCTACAATATCGAACTTTCAGAAATTAGGATATAGGGAACAAACTACAAAATAATCAATGATGTCATCTATTTATGTTTTTCAAACGTGTCCATTGATGACAGCATACTAGTCTTAATCTTTTACACAAAAGTACAAAAAGGCATGATTTGGTCATAATAAAATAAATGTACTTACTTAATTCGTAATAATTTGATGATTATTGGAAACAAATATAAAACAACTTTAAAAAACCTGCCTTGCTCTCTTCCAATCCTGACAGCTTAATGTCTGGCCCATCTTTAATGATTATCAACAAAGTATTTTCTGCCTAAATTTTGAAAAAGGTTGAACATGAGAGGAAGCACAAAGGATATGGGTTCAAATAGCCACCAGAAAAAAGGTTTCAAACCAAACAAGGCGGTGCAGCAGCCTTATGTAAGTGAATCAGCGTGGACTAAGGTCAAAAGCTCGCCCATATGGTGTGTTTACAGTGAAACAAACATGGGCTGCTGTACCTTTACCCTTTATTCTGATTATTATCAAATACTGAGGATTGTATAGATCTACAAATATTCAACAGAGTTTACATAAACATAACAGAGAAAATAAAATAAAGTTTCACCCAACCTGTATGGCAGTGATCCATACATAACCAAAATTAGAAAAAAGCTGAATTTTATTAGGAAACAACCTACTTGTATTGTGGTCTGGTTTCCAGGACGAGGCTCACCCAGCAGGCTTCGTAGCTCTCCTTCTTCCACTGGTTCTCCTCCTGAAGATCACAGTAGGAGTTCACCAGGTAGCAGCCTCCTCTGCTCACACAGTGCATTGTGGGATTGTTTTGAAAGTGAGAATTTAACTTCTGTGTAAAAAGCCTTTTTCGTGTCCTTTTTCACTCCTGTCTGACTTGACACGCATACAACTCAAAGGAGACAAACACAGAAAGCGATCAAATCATGTGTCGTCGTCAATGTCTGTACCAAGCAGTCTGAGGTGTGAGTGTGTTTGGCAATGTCTTAAATATTCAGCCTTGTTTCTATTTTTACTCCTCTGCATCACTTTGTAGTGAATGTCCTTACTCCAGGCATCCTGAGGGTTGGTTTTCATTTGAAAATGAGCACTAGTTCTTTCTGTAACATGACTCAACCTAATGAAATGCCAATGATTTCACTAATGGAAATTATTCCATTAACCGTTATATCGTTAACCCGGTGATGAAAGATATACTTAGACAATTAAGTAGAAGTAGCAAAACTACAGTGTAAACATACCCTGGCACTGATTTAGTGCTGCTTTTTAGATTTAATTTAAATCTTCATGATAATAAAAGCTGAAATATAAATGTAGAAAAAAATGGGGTACAAGTATATAGTAGCAAAAAATTGAAATACTGAAATCATCTATGGCAACATTTCACTTGTACGGCATTTCAGTTAATGTACTTAGTTACAACGACTACGACTGCTGATATAAAGAAAGTCTTCTATGTTTACTTCCAGACTATGAAAGTGTGCATGATGTACAAAACAACCAGTCTGCTTAAATGACATGAATCCAGGGTTTATCCCAGCATGTCAACAAAAATATTCTCCAACTCCTCAGATGTCTCTCACATAGACCGAATGTCGCAGGAAGGAAACAGCTGAGGGAAATCAGATCACTGGCTGACGGTCTTAATCCAGCTCATTAATCCAAAGAGACATCAGTTCCTTGGGCAAAATTATTCTACTTTATGACTGAGTTTTAGAAAAGTTTCGTTGGGACACTCATTTGATTTGTAAAGGGATCTCATTATTCCATTCTCTTTGTGTTCAGAAGTGCTTCATTATCTTCATATTTCAGATGTAATGGAAGGATGTGCCGAATGTTTGGGAGGCAGGTAAACACCTTAATTCTGAAATGTAAGTAATTTGGTTACAAACTATCTGAACTTTTATTGACATACAGTGTATGTTAATATCTAATATCCTTTTCAATTTGACACCACTGACATACTATAACTTTAGTTCCTCTCAGGAGAACGCTGGCAGCCCCACTTCCATCAGTTGGAGGGTGAAACTGTATCAGAGGGGGTTGACGGTGTGACTGAGGCAGTGAAAGGTATGCTGGACTCATCCCAGCAAAAACAGTCCCCCCCCCCTGCAACACAAGAGCCAGTATTACATGACTCCAGTTTGATGCTGAATCCTGACTAATAGATGTTGCTGTGGCAACACAAACACACATTCACAAACAAAAACATGCATCCCTTCAAGATCAGAAGAAGTGGCAATTAGTTTCCATCACAAAGAAGCCAAGAATGATGTATCACTTCATAATGTTTGAAATCTTAAGACATCCGATTCCAAGTGGTTCATAACCATATTTGTGTTACTGATAAAAAGCTTGTGGCTATTTTAAAATTGGGTTTATTCAGAGGATGCTAAAAAGCTGTAGTCTTAATGAAAGCTTATGGTAGACACTAATACTCTTGACCCCCCTTTATTGTGCCAATGACTTTGGAGCACAATTATAATAATAATAATAATAATATTAATAATAATAATAATATTAATATTAATAATAATAATAATAAATTACATTTATAAAGCGCTTTTCCTGGTGCTCAAAGCGCTTACAAGCAAGTAAAACAAAATAACAACAAAAGTAGAAAGTGCTAAGCTAGGAGGAATGAGGGCAAGGGGTTAGTTGATTAGGAGTTGAAGGCAAGAGTGAAAAGGTGAGTTTTGAGGGATTGTTTGAATGATGTGAGAGTGTTGGCGGATCTGACGTGGCTGGGGAGGGAGTTCCAGAGTGTGGGGGAGGCTGCTGCGAAGGCCCTGTCACCCCAGGTCCGGAGCTTTGTCCTGATGGGCTGCAGTAGGTTAGCTTCAGCAGACCTGAGGCGACGGGTGGGGTTGTGTCGTTGGATGAGGTCACAGAGGTAGGGGGGGGCAAGGTTGTTGAGGGCTTTGAAAGTGAAAAGTAATATTTTAAAGTCAATGCGGTGTTTGATGGGGAGCCAGTGGAGTGATGTGGTCGGAGCGTCGGGTTTAATTATCAAACCTAATTGTTTTTTCTGTGTCATAAAGTGGATAAAGTAAGATTTTTTGACTAACACAATGGTAAGTCTTTACATTGAATGGTCTCATTTGAGTTTTTGAATTTAAGGCAACAAAGAATCACATAATTTCTTTTTTCAAATAAAGAATGTATTGTCAAATATTCAAACATACAGTAAATGTATCCAATTTGAGAATATGACAAACAGTTGAAAAAGTAACAAATTAAATTAAACCAAAAATTCAAATATGTAGCTGTGTGAGCCTTAAACCCACAAATCAATGATCAGGTACGGTATCTTTACAGAGATAACTACATCAAGAATCAGCTTTGGTATCACAAACAGGATGAATATCTCAGAGGCTGAACCAGGCAGGCCTCTTCCTGGGCCTCTCCACAATCCTTTTGTCTTTGTCCAGCTCACTTGGTGTTTCTCCCTCATACAGGATGACAGTCTCCACTGCCGGCGCCCCATGGGCCCCCCCTTCCATCGCCTTCATCTGCTTCCGAATCTTTGACGTCTCTCTGCACACCTTGGCGTAACAGAAGCTGCACAGGATGTGTTTCTGCTTCAAGTGGCCACACTCAGGACATGGCTCGATGTTGGTCTGAGAGAGAAAGAGAGAAACAGTGGGTCCAACAATGTTTCTAAATAACTTAGGAAATATAAATTTTCTTTACAGCAGTTTGTTGCTACTTATAACCCAACATATAAACTAATAATGATAGCATATGAGCTCAGCTAACAAGCAGCTACTAACCTATATTAATCACAAATAAGTAACACAAACAATAAGACAGGCCAAAGCAAACTTTTTCATCAATATAATTGAAGGTGCGAAAGGTAACGGTAAAAAAGTTTGGCAAACCTTAAATATACTATTAGGTAAACAAACCAAACAGGATTATGTTCTAGAATTAAAAATCAAAGATGCCCTGATAAAAGACCCTGCAGTGTTGGCCAGCTCTCTCAATGAGTATTTCTTAACTAGTGTTTTGGACTTTACAAAGCTCTTCCCGCCATCTGAGGTCTCACCTAGCCTGATTGTGGATACACACCCCGTTTTTGACCTGGAGGAAATCACAGAGGATGAGGTAAAAAATATAATCTTAGGGTTAAGAGGTTCTAAGGCTAGGGATGCACATGATTTAGACACCAACTTTATAAAAACACATATCGATGGTCTAATATAACCAATTACTATGTTAATAAATCAATATATCAGCACGAGGGAAGTTCCATCATCCTGGAAGGTGGCCACGGTGACACCGATCTTTAAATCTAGGGATAAGGCAATAATGTCAGATTACAGGGGAGGACACAGCATCCTCCCCTGTGTCTCTAAGGTAGCTGAGAAATGGGTGTCAAAACTAATCACCAAACATTTAGACAAAGGTTTTGCTCCACTCCACCCAATGCAGTTTGGTTTTCGTGCTTACCACTCAACTGAGCAGTGTCTTTGTGGAAAAGGTTAAATGTATGTTGGAGACGAGCCCATATGTAGGTGCTGTCTTCCTTGATCTCAGGAAGGCTTTTGACACAGTTGACCACCAAGTGCTCCTTACAAAGCTAACTCATTTCCATACATTGTCTCAAGTCTTGCTTATCGAACAGAAAACAGTGTGTTTTGGTCAACGGAGCCAAATCGCCCTACCTTTTGAACCCTGTTGGGGTTCCACAAGGTTCCATACTTGGACCATTACTATTTTCTCTGTACATTAATGACTTGCCTAATGTATGTCCTGAGTTGAATGTGCAAATGTATGCCGATGATTCGGTCATCTTTGTACATGGGAAAAACACTGAAATTATCTCATGTTGTCTATCTAATGTATTGGGCAAGGTTCAACACTGGCTGAACAACATTTGCTTACAGTTAAATGCAAAAAAAAACAGTATGCATGTTGTTCAGTAAACGACCAGTCAACATCGAAGGATCCAATGTGTTATTAAACGGAGCAGAAATAGAACTAGTCCCCCACTTCAAGTATCTTGCAGTCATAATGGACTCAAACTTGACTTTTAAGAAACATATCAAGAAAGTATCCAATACCGTTAAATTCAACTTGCAACATTTTAAACAAATTAGACCTTTCTTCACTGTCAATGGTGCAAAGTCATACCTCCACTGTATGACTCTATCCCACATTGAATACTGTTTTACAAACTGGTCATTTGCTTGTGCCACAAACCTGAAACCCATAGAACAGCTGTAAAAGAGAGCTATCAAGGTGTTTGACAGAAAGCCACATTCATACCACCACTGTACCATCCTGGAGAAACACAATTTCTTGAGTTTTGACAATTTTAAGTCTTTTAAAAGTATGTGTTTTTTTTTTATAAATGTTTACATGGACTGGCCCCCGACTCCCTTAGGGGAATTTATTCATAAAATAACTCATAATGCAAAATGTAAGCACCTTATATTTGAAATGATTATATATTAATTATTGATGCATTAATGTGTTTTTCACATAAATGTTGCACTTGGTAAAAGGTTTCTTGTAGTCCCTTAAAATGTGTTTTACCTAGGTACAGTATTTGAGTAAATGTGCTTAGTTACATTCCACCACTGAAAATAGAGGTTTCATACGTCAAGTGAAGCATTATGCTATGTGGAGTCCGATTGGGTGTCAAAGTAGCACCAAATAAAAAAACAACGGTTACTTTGCTGTATAGGTAACGTTTTTCTAACCCACAAAAGCAAAACCACTCCAGGCCTCTCCAGGGCAGTGATTGATGGCTGGGCTGGCTGCTCTAAGGTCAGCCTCACCGCTGGGGCCAGGCCATCCTAAACCCAATACCACAGAGCAAATATTATTACAGTTAATTGTGCAAGTGGGTCAGGTTCAATTACACCAAAAGAGCGCATTCACCAGCTCACCTTTATGTAAACCTAAGTGGAGAGGGAGATGAGCTGATTTTAGCAGGTTATGTTGCAGACCAATGTGCAAGTAATGCAGACAAAGTAAACTATAAACATGTCAGGAAAATAAATAAATACAATAAGCTAAATAATGCAGAGAGTGTTGTAAGTGACCAAGTAAATGCAGGAGTCTATATACATGTATTTACTATAAGATATACAAAGCAGAATGAATCAATACAATTAAATATTGTACAGTAAAATAACGGGACAAATTTATAAATGTAAACACACATCTATGCAATTTTCTGAATATTAAGCAGAGGCAGTTTTTTTAACAGTTTTACATTTCGTATTCAAAAAGAAGTTAGAAACCTCTACACAAAATGAGTCAATCTTACCAAGAAGGCCATATATTAGGTCTGACAGACACATTGATATGTCAGAAATTATTTTCATAATTAATAATGCTTGTCATTTTTTTCGCAAAGCAGCCAAACATTTGCTTGTATTGGACAACATTTTAAGAAGTTGATGCTAATGATTTTCCTACATGATAGTAAGTTCAATATATTTGGGTTTTGGCTTATTGTCAAATTACAGCTTTAATAAATATTAGCCGAGCGTTGAAAAAATAAATAAAAGGGAATTTAATACCATTATAATAACATTTATAGAAGAATAATGAAATAAAAAAATGAAATGCAATCTTTCCCTCTGTGCAGATTTTAAGTGACGGGTCAAGTTATGGTTAAAATGAAGAGAAGTCAGTGCAGCGCGCTGGCTGGGGTTCAGTAGTTCAGGTTGAAAAGGTTAGCATTATGTGAAGGAGCGTCTGAGAGGCAGGATGAACAATGCGTCCACTGACCTGTAACGGAAACCTTGCCAGTGGTCCAGAAGCTTTCAAAGAGGTACAAGGCGATGTCGTTTATTAACACGGCCTTGGCTTAAACCAAGATGCCAATCACAGAACAATGCCAGTCACTATGTATTTGCCCTCTCTTCACAGACTGCTTTGTAATGAGGCCGGTCCAGATAACAGGCCTGGCTATAAAACAAAGACAAGACTGGAAATAAGAAATTATTTAGTGAAGCTTGTGGCTCAAATATGAGCTCCTTACGCTCGCTCGTTTACTGTAAAAATCACGCTTTTTCCTAATGCAGTCATTCATCACAGCATCCGTTGTCCAACAGTCATTTCCACATACAGTGAGCAGCGGAGAGGAAGATGAAGCATGGTTATTTATGAAGCCACAAACACTGTCCAGTTTGAATTCAACTGGAAACATGTGTCACTCATTAGGTTGCAGGGATTCAATCAAACATTTAATCTCAATGCCTGCTAAACAAATAGCACAATATGATATGTCAGTACCCCCCTGCTGCTGTACATATGATAATGAATCAACCAGACAATGTCGCAGTGAGCCTTTACTACTCCAGACAATGAAACAGTTGGATCAGAGCATTAATCAATTCCTGGAACAAATCACAATTGTACGACTGGGTAACAGTCTGAAAAATATTGACTAGCCATGATATGAACCGCTCCAACAATTGTGGATGGTGATTACCAGCTCAGTGGGGGGGGGGGTGTCTCTGGTTGAACGAGCAAAGTCCCCAAAAACAACGTCACACTATAGTTTTCTCCACAGTCCCGCAGGAACTCATCCGACCCACACGACCTAAGACCCTAACACACAAAGGAGGTCAAGATTTATCTGCCAAGATTAAAGACCCAAACGTAAGAAACGTTGTGTTGAAAGCCAACTCTGGAACCTAAGTGGCCTGACAAGTGGCAGGTCTGTAGTGGTAATGGGTGAACAGAGGTGGAAAAAGGCATTACCGCCTCACTCATCAAGTTAAGTAGTTGCACTTGGTTGAACCGGGGCTGATTTGAAATTTTAAAAAAACAAGCAGAATTCACAATTCCCATCCAACCAGCATCCAAACCAGGAACAGGTGAAGCATTAGGCGCTTTCACACCGGAGTACTTTTCCCAGGAAACTAGGCCGATAGTTCTTGGGATTTTGGTTTCACACCAAAAAGATCTGGAACTAGAACCTAGTTCGCACGAACCTTTTCACCCCCAGATAGTTCCTGCTAGAGAGGTGGTACTTTCAATGCATTATTAGCATTAGCATTAGCCCAGCGCACCAACGGAGAGAGACTAACTTATGGCAACACAAAAGAAAACATGGGAGCGGTGGAGTGATGAGGACGTGTCGGCGTTTCTGGCAATTTACTCGGAAGACGCTACCCAGCAGTTTGTTTGCGGCCTGCCAGTAAACCCAAAGCAGAAGAAGAAGAAGTGACGTCAGCGGCTTCATTTGCGTAATCCTCCCTCAGGGAACGCGATTTACAGGACAGTTCCTGGGACTAAAGAGTTCGGGGGGACTAAGTACCGGGAACTAAGTACTGCAAAGTGCTTGGTGTGAAAGCGGCTATTGAGAAACACAGATAGAAGAACATTTTTCAAGAAAGAAAAACAAGTCAATTTGAATTACCCAAAAAATTACACAACAACAACATGTTCAGTATGCACATCCTAGACTTAGGCTCCGTTTACACGAAGACAAAAACGAAAACGAACAGAATTCGATATCAAAAAAGTCTTCCGTCCACAAGGAATAGGCAAAAGAAACATGTCCGTCCACATGAGACCACTCGACCCGCTGGAGACGCTGTAGTACATATGCCGGGCCTGTAAGTGGCGCTGTACTTCCGCAACAAAATACACCAAAAGCAGCGAATAAGACCCCCCAGGCATGGTTGCCATGGTTGCCCTTCTGTTTATTCTCCGCGGTGGATTTAGCAACATGTAGTTCATGTAGTTCTCCATGTCCACTTGTTGCTGATGGTTGTGGTAGAGGAGCTGTAGATTTGGGTGAGCAGCAGAGGTGGGGAGAGGCGGGGCTCTGGCTGTAACGGCAGCCTCTGTTTCTCTTTTTCTCCCTCCCTGAGGCGAGCGTGTGCTCCTGCTGTAAAGGGCAGGTGTACAGGCACCCACTGCCACTAACTCTGAGCCTGGCTCCCGAGCAGGACAGTCTCCCCAGTAGTCCACCAGCAGATGAAAATCACCCACATCTCCGCCTCTTCCAAGGGACGAGGGAACCGTGCGGGGGGTCTGCTGGAGGCTCCTGCTGGGTGCACCGTCCTGCGAGATACCGGGACCTGGCTCAAAACACTCGGAACACTGTTGTTGTTGGTGTGAGTGGGAGAGGTGGGGAGAGGCGGGGCTATGGCGTATAGGGCGTACACACAGAGCCNGGGGTTTGTTCAACTTTTAAAAGATGCTTGAATGGTGATATACACAGTGATAGGTGTTAAAGACTAACGTGTATAATAAATACATTTGTATTTACTTTGTCAAAGTAAATACAAATGTATTTATTATACACGTTAGTCTTTAACACCTATCACTGTGTATATCACCATTCAAGCATCTTTTAAAAGTTGAACAAACCCCACACAGCTCAGTAAAGATGTGAAATGTTGACTTTATTTGATCATTTCAGTAAAAACTAACGTTCATATTTCTCTTTTTGATTATAATACTGATGAACGTTCAAAACAAAGCACTTTGGCAACTTACCACATACGTTTTAAAATGCATAATAAGCACCATAACTTTCATGATATAATTTCTCGGTCATAATCGGTTGTTTCCGTGAACGGCCGACTGTTGTGTGACGGAAAATGCTGCGGCTGCAAGGCATTGTGGGGCAGCATTTTCTCCTCTCCTTTCGGTGAGGGAGGTCCAGTGGTTCCAAAGCTAAAGGAGGTTATAGAGGAAGTTTGAAACCTCCTTTCCTGTCATCTAGAGAATTCGAACAGCACTTATCATGGCTGCCACTGAGGGACTTCCGGGTCATTTCACTCCGTTAGGAAGGTTCCTTAGCTAAATGGACTATTCGACTTCAGCCCAGGCCGATTATCGGCGTCGGTGGGCGTCAGGCCGACGATGAGCGTTGACACGCCCTACTCTTCAACCGTACCGACGCCTTTTCGGCCGAAAACCCTTGAATCGGCGGGCAGTTGGCCAAAGGTAGTCGGCAAAAGAAATCACTCTGACTGGTTGTTCAGCTAGCGAATCAGTGCATTAGAAGCGAAACGGAAGTTAGGGACCCAAACAAACTATTAAGAAGGCAAATCTGAGATTTCATTTAACTCCAGCTCTCGACACAGGTTCGGGAGAGCCCCATGAGCTTCTCGTTGTAGAGTGAAAATGGAACGCACACGCAGTCTGTTCTTCTTCTCTCGGTTATCACGCAGTCTGTCTTCCGGTTGTTGCTTCTTTTGAATGACGAATACACACTACCGCCACCTGCTGGTAAGGAGAGTTATTGCCACTCACGCACTCACGTGCTTCTTGGCCATCGGCTGAAGTCTTTGCGGTGTGTTCAAGTGCGACACATGGCCAAAACGCAGAGACGAGAGGCGACGCAACAGTCGGGGTCCGTCTGTGTCAGTTCTTTGTTGTCAGATTGGTGTGTCCGGGCCTTAACAAGTAAAGAAGATAACAACAAAAAAAACATGCATTTTCAGTCCTGATCCACCACTCCTCTGAACATTCTTAAAAGTCTAATGAAAAACCCCAGCTCGTGTTCGTCACTTTGTGTGGGACTGGATTTTCCCTCCTAAGATGGCTCCTTCAGCCCTCTTGTGTTTCTGCACAGTGACCTGCAGCTGCCAGTACTTGAGGTAAACCCACATGAGGCTGCCATTCTTCCTCTTGTCCATGTTTAGCAAGTCAGCACAGTGCGTATCTCTCTTAAAAACATCCTTAAGATCAGACTCTAGGTCCAGTTCTGCCAGGACAGGGTCTTTGACGACCTTGATCAGCATGTTCTTCTCCATCTCCAGCCGCTGGTCCCGAGGTTGGATGAGGGAACAGTAAGCATTCTGGCGCTCCAGAAGCTGATACTCCAGCTCCTCCAGAGTGGCGTTGGCTCGCTGGGACCGGTTGTCTTCTCGCTCCAGGGCGTGATGCAGTACCGCCCCTGCAGCGCCAGACTTCACCAGCCTCTGCTTTTCTTCCTCCAAGGCTTCACGCTCCTTGTAAGAAAGAAGACAGTGTTTTCTTTTTAATGCAGGCCCATAAGGAAATAGCACACTAGTGGAAATACACTGCAAGACAAGATGTATAGATGTTACCTCATGTAGCTGTTTCCGTTCTTTCATCAGCTGATGGCTCTGTGAGACCATGGCCTGTTTGTAGCCTTTCACCCTCTGCCTCTCCTTCTCCAGCTCCAGCTCGAGTGTAGCTGCTGCCCTTCGCCTATCTGTAAGTGTCTCACGGTACTTTATCTCCATTTCGCTTTTTATTGTTGAAATGTCTATTTTATACTGAGCTTTGACCTCCTGGATTTCCCTCTGAGACTCCCTCGTCCAGATCCAACCTAAACGGCACAGTGGAAGTTGAGAAATGATTTAAATAAATAAGATAAATTGCAACTATCTTAAACTCAAGCACCTTTTTCTCAACCAATGGAATTATCTGAAGCTTGTGCTAGTTTGCTAGGTTCGAGAAAGTAAGTACAGTTAATATATCTTGAAATAAGACTGTATACAACAAACCCAAACAAAAAAACATACTGGCTTTAATAGATGAGATATTAAATTGTCTCTGGTAAACTAGATGTCTTTGTGTCAATTTAAAGTCATAATATGCAGGAATACTCCATTTCTGTTTGTCATATTGTCAAGTCAGATTGGTAATTATTAGTCATGGCAAAGAAGGAGAATATATTTTAATTGCTACCTAATGGCATTTGATATTTTGGGTTTTCTAAAGCTCAACCAGCTTTGTATGAGCACATTCAATATCTCTACATTACATCATGTAATGTTGTTTTTCTATTCCTGTAACCTAAACACAGACACACTCTGATGTAACTTACGGAATGCAGCCAATCCCAGCATTGGGACCAGCAGGGCGTAGTTCCATTGATGGCCATCACTGGCCCCCGCCCCCCTTCCTCGGGGGTCTGGCTCAATGTTCCACCTGGGGGGGTCATTCAGGTTGTTCATGGAAGCTGCTGTCACAGACACATACACACATGAAGGAAGACCAACACAGCATAGACTCCTCTGAATATGCATTACAATGAATGTTTACATTTTGCAACACAAACTGGTGCCCCTGAAGTAGCAGTGTCCCTTTTAATCAAACAGCCAAACTCCAGTAATATCCTACTAGCTTCAATTAGCTTGTTAGCATTCACCGAATCAGACATGACTAAGCTTGAAGGTTCATGCTAGCTATATTATTTAATACAAACACATTACAGGACATAATAGTCTTGTAAATCGGACTACAAGTCGGCACACGTCTGTTAAATATTGGTTCTGTGTCTCACCTTGAATGATAAGTCTAGGTCACTTATACATTTGTTCCTGCATACCCTGCTTACACAAGTTTACTCGTTAGCAGTCCATCTATACCGACCGGGGGTATTTCGTAGGAAGTTACTTGATTAAAGATCAGTTTAGGTCTTAAGGGTAAACTCTGTTTGAATTAACCGAGATGTATTGTAACTCTCTAGGTGGTGTTTTAAAAGTAAAATCACGGTTAAAGTAGGGTTTAAATTATAACTGTCGGTAGTAAAAATGAGCGACTCCCCCGTTTTCGCAGAATGGTTTGGTCCATTGCTATGGAACATCTCATCCTCCACCGTGGCTCAGAATCGTTCCTTCAACTGACAACATGGCGAGTGTCCGTGCTGCCTCCCGTCTACTCTCCAAGAGGATATTATCTAAAACAACAGCTGTGAGTTTTTGCAACTGTCTACTTAGTCCTTCACATAACCCTATGTGATCTAACTATGTGTTTTCTACGCTAAAAGCAAACATTTTGCTGCACTTTCTGCTTTCGTAACCATCAGATTCCGACTTGCGTAACCTGTGTTATGTAGCTCAGGCTGTTTCAATGTGACACCAGGAAAATGGCTATTATGCTAGTCTAACAAAAGTTTATATATCTATACCAAATCTATGTTTCGTTATATACATAGAGATTTATTTTGAGTCAAATGTCAACATTACAGAGGGATTTGAACAAGTCTGTTAGTTAACGTTACCTCTGTTGCCCTTGTGAAAAACTGTTTAAGCTAACAGTAGCTAGCAAAATGTTATGCATACAATGCAAATACATTTAAAAGCGACTGCAGACTTAATGATTCTTACACATATAGCATGGTTAATCTCAAATGAAAAAATCAAGTACAAATGCACTATAAAATCCAAGCTATAAATGATTACAAATATTAATGCTCTGATATCAATTGTTGTCTTTTCTGCCAGGTCCCTGCTGCTGCAGTTCAGGGATCCAGAGACTTTCACTTCTCCATCTATGGCAAGAAGACAAGTGCCAAAGTATCCGATGATGTGAGTCACATATTTACTATTTTTTCAGCATTATATAGGGTTATTTGTGTTGACGCATGATAGTGGTGTATTGTACTTTACATAAGTAGAACGGATAGTATTGCACTAATTTTGTTCACTGCATAATTTAGTGTCAATATTAAACTTGATAACTTGCTTGACTATATAGATTTCCACTGCTTGCTGACTGCTTCTAATAGGAGGTTTTTTGGTAACTTCTGTGCTTTTATTGTTTTCAGATTTCTACTCAGTACCCAGTAGTTGATCATGAGTTTGATGCTGTGGTGGTAGGAGCTGGAGGAGCAGGGCTGAGGGCAGCCTTCGGCCTGTCTGAGGCTGGCTTCAACACCGCCTGCATCACCAAGCTCTTCCCCACCAGGTCTCACACTGTTGCTGCACAGGTATGAGAACATACTGTATGTTATGTGTTCATTAAGGATTTAGATTATTTTGAAGGTTTTCCTACGGAGTACAAGTTCAGATAATTTTGCATGATTAGACACATATAACTAACACACAAATACAGTGTTGTTTGGCACATTCTAAGCCTCATGTAGATTTAATCACTCAATTAAAAGTTCTTAATCTTTAGTAAAGTAAATATTAAACTGGTTTACAGGGCGGGATTAATGCAGCTCTTGGAAACATGGAGGAGGATGACTGGAGGTGGCATTTCTACGACACAGTGAAGGGATCTGATTGGTTGGGCGACCAGGATGCTATCCATTACATGACAGAGCAGGCTCCTGCAGCCGTAGTGGAGGTAAGAAGGCACACACGCAGAAACGCATGCCCAATAGTGGATATGTAATTTTTTATTTTACCTTGTTTAATTAACACTTTTATTTTTGCATCCCATCAATTTTGTATGCATCGCAGCAAATATCATCAAGTTGTTGTGCCTCTTTTCCAGCTGGAGAACTTTGGCATGCCCTTCAGCCGTACTGAAGAGGGCAAGATCTACCAGAGGGCCTTTGGAGGTCAGAGTCTCAAGTATGGAAAAGGAGGCCAGGCCCATCGCTGCTGCTGTGTAGCAGACAGGACAGGACACTCACTGCTGCATACACTTTACGGACGGGTAGGTCCCCACACGTGTTTTCTCCCCTTTATTTCACTCAGTTCCTTCATAAAATACCATGGAATACAGTTTAACCTAATTTCATGTATCCGCCTTCTGTACAGTCTCTTCGTTACGACACCAGTTACTTTGTAGAGTACTTTGCCCTGGACCTGCTGATGGAAAATGGAGAGTGTAAAGGAGTGATCGCTCTCTGCATGGAGGACGGATCTATTCACCGCTTCAGGGCCAAGAATACTGTCATTGCTACTGGGTAGGTATTAGGGGTGTAACGGTTCACAAACATTTCAGTTCGGTACGTACCTCGGTTTTTAGGTCACGGTTCGGTAAGTTTTCGGTACAGCAGAAAAAATGATCACAAAACATAAAATATATATATATTTTTTTAAAAATTATTAATTAAACTGTGAATAATGTATTCACTCAAATAAATACAAAATATAATAAAAGAAACATTAAGGTGCAACATTTCGATGAACTGAAATAATCTGTATTTGAACTGTACTGTACTAGTACCTAAGCAGCCAGTTTGACATGACTTGCTTGTCATTGTATTTTCATGTTTTTTTTTTAAAGAAAAATTAACTTCTGATGCTGGCACTAACAATGTCTCCTACTGTGGAGAACACCCTCTCGCTGGGGACAGAGGTAGCAGATACAGCCAGGTAGCGCTTTGCTAACATGGCAACATAAGGATATTTGGCGTTTGTAATAGCTTTGGCTCGGTCTGAACTTTTTGCGAGTGGTGGAGGCTTAAGTGCTAGTGGGGGTTGGGTTTGCACATCAGTCTTTTTTCTTTTGGTACTGGTGATATTCACGTTCGGGTGATGCCTTTACAAATGAGTGTGCAAGTTTGATGTATTGCCAGCTGCGTAACCAATTTTAGTTGAACAATGCCGACAAACAGCTTTGGTTCGGTCCACCTGTCTTTGTCCGTCATCCTTGTACATAACTGCGAAACCAAAATGTTCCCAACCCGGAGACTTCAATGATGCTGGAGGATTTTCGAGCTCAACTTTATCTGCGTTCGCCATTTCGACAGTTCCTCAAATTACTGACTACATTTGAACGCATCCCTGTGACCAGCTCTCATAATATGTCTCTCGTCCAATGAAATGACTTGGTTGCTCTATGACGCTTTGAACCCAATGTGAGCAAATTACTCTCAATGCTGCGACGCAGCACCTGAGATTACTTCCAAAAAGTTGTTCACGTTCTAAATTTTTTACATTTAACGTTATATTCGTTCGTACCGAACCGAAGGGCCCGTACCGAATAATCTCTGTACGAATACGTATAACGTTACAGCCCTATAGGTATCACACTCACTGTCACAAAAACAGGAACAAATTAGACATTTGTCTTATATCGACTCTCTGAACTTTGGCAGTAAACTTGAGATAGACAAGTTTTAAAAATGAGTTGAATCTTCTCTTCCAGGGGTTATGGAAGAACCTATTTCAGCTGCACATCTGCCCACACTAGTACCGGTGATGGAAATGCAATGGTGACCAGAGCTGGCCTGCCCTGCCAGGATTTGGAGTTCGTACAGTTCCATCCTACTGGTGAGAGAAATAAAAAATATTCTTACTAACAAAAACGCAATCTTATTTATGAAAAGCCTTATCTTATTTTATATAGCAGTCTCTTTAATGCTCTACAGCAGCTAAAGGCATGCTTAAAATATATTTCTATATTTTTGATAGTAACTTGAGCTAGTGTTGTTTCAATAAACGTTCAAAGTCCAATATGTTGTCTTTTTGTAGAGGTGTGATAAGACTCTGCCTAGTTGTCCTGATTGTCTTTTGTCCTGTGGTGCGGTTGTTGCCATTTTATGTTTCTGAGTTTGAATTTCTACAAAAAACTAATCATGGAAGAGATTCAAACCATGTTGTTTCAACCAATGCTTAAACAACTTCCTGTGTCTGGGAGAGATAACGGGTATTTATCCTATTTACTTCATGGGCAATCTGTTACACTTGCACTTGGAATACTTTTAGGTTAGGTGAGGAAGTCATGCTTACATCTGTGGAGGCTCCCCAATTTTGGGCTGTTCCATAGCTCTGTTCAGGCCTGGCTGTCTCCAATAACCGAACCTAGTCAGTAAAAGACCAGTGGTCATCTTTATTTTTGTTCCTGCTGGGAATCTGACACCAGGCCTCTTTATGATGTGGCATGTAGGAGGTCGGCACCAACTGCTGAGCCACTGCAGATTTGTTCACCTTTTGTAAACCCCAATATCAATATATCATCAAGAATATTTGACCCTTCTCAAATTTCAGCGAGTCCTTTTTAACATGTGAATCGTTCCAGGGATCTACGGAGCCGGTTGTCTGATTACAGAGGGTTGCCGTGGAGAGGGAGGCATCCTGGTCAACAGTGAGGGAGAGCGGTTCATGGAACGCTACGCACCCAACGCCAAGGACCTGGCCTCCAGAGATGTGGTGTCCCGCTCCATGACCATCGAGATCAGAGAGGGCAGGTATGGAAAATGAACACTGGTATGTCATGTAACTGCATGCAAGAAATGTCAAAACCTTTGTACACATAAATAATTTCCTTCCTCCTGTGTGTGCTCCTTCAGGGGTGTTGGTCCAGAGAAGGACCACGTGTATCTGCAGCTCAACCACCTGCCCCCCCAGCAGCTGGCCACACGGCTGCCTGGTATCTCAGAGACGGCCATGATCTTCGCTGGAGTCGATGTCACTAAAGATCCCATCCCTGTTCTGCCCACCGTCCATTACAATATGGGTGGAATCCCCACCAACTACAAGGGACAGGTATGTGATGTGTGCACGAGCACCTGCATCCACACACACACACCAACAATGTGACCCACCTTATTAACTGTTTTTCCCATCAGGTGATCACTTATACTGAAGGATCCGACAAGGTGGTTCCTGGCCTGTATGCGTGCGGCGAGTCGGCGTGTGCCAGTGTCCATGGAGCCAACCGGCTGGGTGCTAACTCTCTGCTGGATCTGGTGGTGTTTGGAAGAGCCTGCGCCCTCACCATCGCCGAGGAGAACAAGCCAGGTGAGCCCCCTCTGCTAGTGCCTACTATAAGAATAATGAGATTCTTAAAGCCAGGGAAGGTAGTTTTCTGGAAAAGGTAAAAAACCAGTAGAATTTCCAAATACAGC